TATATAAGGCCCTTCTGGTTGCCTGTATTACTACCATAGCACATGAAGATAAGAGGACTGCTATTGCCATGGTGATATCATACAGTATAAATCAATGTTGGAGTCCCTGGCTAGCTTCCATGTTCCTTGCAGGGACTGGAGGAGGGGGCAGGGCAGAAGGAGTAGAGAACTGGGGAGGGGACACACACATATAGATAAGAGGGGGGGGGGGGGGGGGGCACAGGATATGAGAGAAAAGGTGAGAGACAGATAATGACAATCAGCTCTATATAGGGTCAGGTCATAAAGAAAAATATGGCCATAGCACTTCACATGTTAATATTCGTATCCTATATAAGATTATTTTACATCAATATAATATGAAAGGGGCTGGGCAATAATAACCTGAACCACAGGAACATAAATGCATTGCCTTTAGTAACCATTCATACTTAGAGTTACTCACGAAGAGCAAAGAGCAGCAAAGTCCAATAACCCATAGCAGCTGACCAGATTTCAGGATATGCTGGTTATGCAGGATATGCACTATAGGCTGTGCACTGTGGGATATGCACTGTGGATTATGCACTGTAGGTTATGTATTGTGGGTTATTCACTGTGAGTTATGCACTGCGGGTTATATATTGTGGGTTATACACTGTAGGTTATGCACTGTGGGTTATGCACTATGGGTTATATATTGTGGGTTATACACTGTAGGTTATGCACTGTGGGTTGTGCACTGTGGGTTATACACTGTAGGTTATGCACTGTGGGTTGTGCACTGTGGGTTATGCACTGTAGGTCATGCACTGTGGGTTCTGCACTGTAGGTTATGTACTGTGGGTTATGCACTGTGGATTGTGCACTGTGGGTTATGCACTGTGGGTTGTGCACTGTGGGTTATGCACTGTGGATTGTGCACTGTGGGTTATGCACTGTGGATTGTGCACTGTGGGTTATGCACTGTGGGTTATGCACTATGGGTTATGCACTGTGGGTTATGCGCTATAGGTTTTGCCCTGTGGGTTATGCGCTATAGGTTATGCACTGTAGGTTATGCACTATTGGTTATGCACTGTGGGTTATGCGCTATAGGTTATGCACGGTAGGTTATGTACTGTGGGTTATGCGCTATAGGATGTGCACTGTGGGTTATGCGCTGTAGGTTATGCACTGTGGGTTATGCGCTATAGGATGTGCACTGTGGGTTATGCACTGTAGGTTGTGCACTGTGGGTTATGCACTCTGGGTTATGCACTGTAGGTTGTGCACTATGGGTTATGCACTGTGGGTTATGCACTGTAGGTTGTGCACTATGGGTTATGCACTGTGGGTTATGCACTGTAGGTTATGCACTGTGGGTTATGCACTATGAGTTATTCACTGTAGGTTATGCACTGTAGGTTGTGCACTGTAGGTTATGCACTGTAGGTTATGCACTGTGGGTTATGCACTGTGGGTTGTGCACTGTGGGCTATGCACTGTGGGTTGTGCACTGTGGGTTGTGCACTGTAGATTATGCGCTATGGGTTGTGCATTGTAAGTTATGCGCTATAGGTTATGCACTGTAGGTTGTGCACTATGGGTTATGTACTGTAGGTTATGCACGGTAGGTTATGCATGGTAGGTTATGCACTGTAGGTTATGCACTGTGAGTTGTGCACTAAGGGTTGTGCACTGTGGGTTATGCACTGTGGGTTATGCACTGTAGGTTGTGCACTATGGGTTATGCACTGTGGGTTATGCACTGTAGGTTGTGCACTGTGGGTTATGCACTCTGGGTTATGCACTGTAGGTTGTGCACTATGGGTTATGCACTGTGGGTTATGCACTGTAGGTTGTGCACTATGGGTTATGCACTGTAGGTTATGCACTGTAGGTTATGCACTGTGGGTTATGCACTATGAGTTATTCACTGTAGGTTATGCACTGTAGGTTGTGCACTGTAGGTTATGCACACTGTGGGTTATGCACTGTGGGTTGTGCACTGTGGGCTATGCACTGTGGGTTGTGCACTGTGGGTTGTGCACTGTAGATTATGCGCTATGGGTTGTGCATTGTAAGTTATGCGCTATAGGTTATGCACTGTAGGTTGTGCACTATGGGTTATGTGCTGTAGGTTATGTACTGTGGGTTGTGCACTGTTGGTTGTGCACTGTGGGTTGTGCACTGTAGGTTATGCACTGTAGTTTGTGCACTGTAGGTTGTGCACTGTGGGTTGTGCACTGTAGGTTATGCACTGTGGGTTGTGCACTATGGGTTATGTACTGTAGGTTATGTACTGTGGGTTGTGCACTGTGGCTTATGTACTGTGGGTTATGTACTGTAGGTTATGCACTGTAGGTTGTGCACTGTAGGTTATGTACTGTAGGTTATATACTGTGGGTTGTGCACTGTGGGTTATGTACTGTAGGTTATGTACTGTGGGTTGTGCACTGTGGGTTATGTACTGTAGGTTATGTACTGTGGGTTGTGCACTGTGGGTTGTGCACTGTGGGTTGTGCACTGTAGGTTATGCACTGTGGGTTGTGCACTGTAGGTTATGTACTGTGGGTTGTGCACTGTGGGTTGTGCACTGTGGGTTGTGCACTGTGGGTTGTGCACTGTAAGTTATGCACTGTGGGTTGTGCACTGTAGGTTATGCACTGTAGGTAATTCACTATGATATATGCAGTATAGGTCATGCTCATGCACTCTGCACATTGCCTCACTGAAAAAGCCAGCTGATGGTGAGGCTGATTTACTTAAGGAGGTAAAATTCTCACTCTAAATGTTATGAAAAGTCATTTCAACTATTCAATCATCAGCAGAACACAATAAGCGAACAGGACTTTGGTTGAGAATATTCACACACTAAAGAAGTTGAGAATATTCACACACAAAAAAGAGTGAAAATGCACTTCAATTATACGATCATGTGCAGAAGAAATAAGTAAAGAAAGATGTGCCTTTCATATGAATGAATAATTGACACAAATCTTCTCTCTATTTGTGTCTGTGAATAGTCTCAACTCCTTTAGTAAATCAGTCTTATAGTCCTAAGGAAAGACAGAGAATAACTGATCAGACCCTGTTCCCAATCATCACTAACACCATGAGGCTGATTTACTAAAGGAGTTGAGAATAGTCACACAAACAAAGGTGAAGATTCACTTCAATGATCCAATGATGTGCATAAGCTGTCCCCAATCATTAGTAACACTATGTGACTGATTACTAAAGGAGTTGAGAATGATGACACAAAAAAGTGAGGATTCACTTCAATGATCTAGTGATGAGCATAAACTGTTCTCAATCATCATCGACACAATGTGGCTGATTTACTAAAGGAGTTGAGAATGTTCACACACATAAATAGAGAGAAGATTCACTTTAAAGATCCCTTCATGTGCAGAAGAAATAGGTAAAGAAGGATTTTCCTTGCATATGATTGAATCATTGAAGTGAATCTTCTCTCTCTATGTGTGTGTGAACATTCTAAACTCATTTAGTAATCAGCCTCGTAGTCCTAGAGAAATACATAGAATAACTGCTCACATCCAGTTTCCAATCACCAGAAACACTATGAGACTGATTTACTAAAGGAGTTGAGAATGTTCACACACAAATGAGTGGAGCTTCACTTCGATGATCCAATGATGTGCATAAGCTGTTCCCAATCATTAGTAACACTATGTGTCTGATTACTAAAGGAGTTGAGAATGATGACACAAAAAAGTGAGGATTCACTTCAATGATCTAGTGATGTGCATAAACTGTTCTCAATCATCATCCACACAATGTGGCTGATTTACTAAAGGAGTTGAGAATGTTCACACACAAATGAGTGGAGCTTCACTTCGATGATCCGATCATACAGAAGAAGTAAGCAAAGAGGGATTTTCTTTCCAAATGATTGGGTCATTGAAGTAAATCTTCACTCTTCTTCTCAACCCCTTTAGTAAATCAGCCTGTGTACGTGTTCACAAAGCAGCCCACTGACTTCCATACACAGGCTGACAAGCACAACACAGCACACAGTGTCCTGGCCCCTAGCACAGAGGAGTGTGCATGCAATCATGTACCATGTCCTATCGGCAGTGTGGGATTTGCAGCCTAGGGGTTCAGTATCAGAGATATCTTTGTGGAATCAATGCCATTAATGCTGATGAGGACTCACCAGTGCTGCTGTCCCCTTGGTGTCGCGGGCTGGCTCCGCTCTGCTGTGTGCTGTCCGCTCCGTGCAGGACTCCGATCTGCGCGACACCTTCATAGAGCAGAGCCTGGAATTTAAATGCGTCTGAAAAGACGATCCATCACCGGCCAGAACAGTCAAACTTTATCAAGCTGCGCAGCCATTGGCTGGCGTAGAGCACGTGACGCCCCCATTGACTGTACATTCATCTGATTTTCTCCTGGCCCTATGGAGGAAGTGAGAAAGTTGGCACGGTCACCCCGGAGTCAGAGTCACCCAGTGATAGATGGACTGTGCGAGGATGAGTTCCTTCCTAGATTACCCGAGCCTGATGAGTGCAGAAGCCGGGAGCTGCCCCTCCAGAGCCTTCCACCCTGACCATGGACTTCCAACTTTCCAGTCCTGTGCGGTCACTGCCAATAACTGTAACACTGATGATCGCTTTATGGTTGGCCGGGGGGTCCAGCTAAGTTCCCATCACCACCACCATCCCCACCAAACGGGGGCTTTCCAGACTCCCAACAACCTGGCCATGTCCTATTCCCACCCGAGCTGCGCTGCAGGGTATGGCATGCAGAATTTCAGCGCAGGATACTCTCACTTCCCCATAAATCAGGAGGCAGATGTCAGTCCAGGCTTCCCCAGCGCCGTGTATACTGGCAACATCGCCTCCACTGTGGTCCAGCAACACCATCAGCACCAGAACTATGTGGATGGTACAGGGTCAGCCCATTACATCCACCACCATCACCACCATACCTATGGAGCAGAGCAGCAGAACCTTCCCATGGCCACCTATAATAACAACAGTGTCGGCAGCATACACATCAATCACCAAGAAGCTTGTCGATCACCATCTGCTGAGACCTCTCCACCAGCACAGACCTTCGACTGGATGAAAGTGAAGCGCAATCCACCCAAAACTGGTAAGTCCTTATGGAGCAATCAACGTCTGTCCTCTATCCAAATCATAAATCCTCTCTTATGGGGTCACTGATCCCTTTCAAACATCCTGCCATATCCTGCACTTGCCACCAAGGTTGAGAATTTAAGTAACTTTGCTGTGTATTTATTATATGATTGAGTTTTTATTTATCACTTTTCATTGATGCTGTCAACACCTGAAAACAAGCTTTCTCTTCAATAGTTCTTATCATTTGGTAAAAGTTGCCACTTCTGTACACATTGTGATATCGTTCACTTTTATTTTTCATTGCTGAGCAGTGTACCATGTTAACTGCCAATGTAAGTACACATGACACCTGGTAGGTTTCTTTTATGGGGTCACTGGTTCCTTTCACCCATGTTGTGGGTATGCACACATGGCAGGATCTTGTACATTCTAGTAAGATTGATAATTTAGGTAACTTTGCTCTGTTTATTATTCATTTGTTTAGTTATTTGATCACTTTTGATGAATACTCTAAACATTACCAAACTAGTTACATTTTAAGCTTTATCTTCCATACTCCCTATCATTTGTTTAAAGAAGCCACATCTGTACACATTGTGATACATTTCACTTTACATTACTGGGCAGTGTATCATGGTAACTGCCAATGTAAGTACAAATAACTATTGGTAGGTTTCTTTTATGGGGTCACTGGTTCCTTTCACCCATATTGTGGGTATGCACAAATGGCAGGATCTTGCACATTCTAGTAAGATTGATAATTTAGGTAACTTTACTCTGTTTTTTATTAATTTTTTTAGTTATTTGATCACTTTTCATGAATACTCTAAAACATCCCCAAACTAGTTACATTTTAAGCTTTATCTTCCATACTCCCTATCATTTGGTTAAAGAAGCCACATCTGTACACATTGTGATACATTTCACTTTACATTACTGGGCAGTGTATCATGGTAACTGTCAATGTAAGTACAAATAACTATTGGTAGGCTTCTTTTATGGGGTCACTGGTTCCTTTCACCCATGTTGTGGATATATACACATGGCAAATAGGATCTTGCGCATGTTAGTAAGGTTGAGAATGTAGGTAACTTTGCTCTGGTAAGTCATTTGTGAATTATATGATCACTTTTCATTAATGCTCTACAATACCCCCCCCCCCCCAAACAAGTCACATTTTAGGCATCAATAGTTTCTATCATTATGTAAGAGTATCCACAGCTTTATATCCTGTGACATATTTTATTTTTACTTTACATTGCTGGACAGCATACTATGTGAAATGCCAAGGCAAGCACAAATGACATTTGGTAGGCTTCTGTTATGAGGTCCCTGGTTCCTTTCACCCATGTTATGGCGAAGTACGTCTGGCAAATAACGTGATCTTGCACATGCTACCAAGGTTGAGAATATAGATAACTTTGCAGTGTAGTTACATTTAGTAGGTCTCTTTTATGGGGTCACTGGCACCATACCACTTTCTTTTCTGACAACATAAATGTTATTTAGAACACTTTGATTCATGACTATCATATGTACCCAGCAGTCATTCACTATGGGTTGGGTTTCTAACAAGGCTTTCCTCTTGTCTTGCAGGTAAAGCTGGGGAATATGGCTATGCAGGTCAACCCAACACTGTGAGAACCAATTTTACCACCAAACAGCTGACAGAACTGGAGAAAGAATTCCATTTCAACAAGTACCTGACCAGGGCCAGGAGGGTGGAAATTGCAGCAGCTCTGCAGCTTAACGAGACCCAGGTGAAGATCTGGTTTCAGAACAGAAGGATGAAACAAAAAAAGAGAGAGAAAGAAGGTCTCCTGCCAATCTCCCCCTCTGCCAGCACAGGAAGTGATGAAAAGCCAGAAGACATGTCAGACAAGTCAAGTCCTTCACCCTGTGCTCCATCACCAGCTTCTTCTACCTCTGATCATCTCAATTCCTCCAACTAAACAGCAGCTGCTAGGTTGCAATGTTTTCACAAGATTGCCAAAGACTTTCCAATCCTGCACAGTGTAGGTGACCTGCCTCCTGGCACCAGGGTTTTGTTTGCACAAACTGTTCTTAATCCATTTTGGGTTTTCAGCTAAGGAACCAAAAATGGAGCCCACAATCAGTATTGGCATGTGTTAAATTGAATATATGCTGAATGAGCTGCTTTCTCTGGTCAAGTACTTGGAGACAGAGGACCTTATGGTCCCATGACTTGGCTAGCATAGGTACTGTCAATGTGATGCACTATTTAGAAAACAAGAAGTTTACACAAACAAAGACTTTATGAGTTTAATTTAAATGTGATTTTAGTTTTGTTGTCTGTATGTTGAAAGATTGTAAATATTGTTTCATTTTTTCAGAGATTTATCTTGGAGGCCTTTTTTTGTAGAAACTCTAATTATATTATGTGAAATGATGGGGGCGGGTACCAAGTTGTGAAAGATTTATAATGCAAAATATTTGTTAAAATGTACTAGTAGTATAAGTTTCCATTCATTGTCCCTTACATATAGGTAAAGGCTGACTAAGAAGTACAGGTTTTGGTCTAGCCCAGTTGTCCTGCATTACCTTCTAACATTCTATCAGAGAATTTTTTTCATTATTATAATCTGATTTGGTATTTGAGCTGAATAACTAAACGTCTCAGTAGTTGAATAAATGTGCCATACCTTTAAATTCCATTAAACTATAGAATTAACCAAAATATCTTTCAGGCAATTTCTGTATTGCTGATGATCAAATTATTCTGTACATTTTGAGATTCTTGCTTGAACCTGTGCATGAGACGCAATGATTTACTCTATCCCTTCTACACTGAGTTTTATCAGTTCTAACTTGTGATCACGATATTTTTCGATATAGAAAATGATGGTCTTATTATATGTGTATGTTTGGGGCTCAGTGGTTCTACATTATGGGTTCTGGATGATGAATAAACTTGTTCAAATTACAAATGTATTATTTTTCTTTGTTTTTATTCAATAGTTTCCTATCTAGTTACTAGACACTCAAGAATTTATTGAAATGTTATGCTTTTTTTTTTGTTAAATAAAAAGCATACATTTTTAAGCATGACTTTTAAGCTAAGCATGACTTTTAAGCTAGCAAAATTAAATAAAACAAAAACATTCTTTAACATTTGCATTAATAAAACAATTGATAAAAAGAATACCCCCCCCAAATTTACAGTAGTTGGCCAATTGGTCTTAGGTCCTTCCAGATTCCCATGAAGTGTCAGCTCCAGTATCATCTTGGGTCAAGAACTAGTGAACTTTTCACCTCAATCAGAAGGTTGACATGTGTAAACATAGAAGACTGACAAAAATGTGCAACTTGTCTTCAGTCAGTCTGTCCTCACATCATTCTCTAGAAGTACACATCTCCTCCTGTTAAAGGGCTATTTCCCACTTCAATCATTGCATCCACTCTATATAAAAAATGAAATCACTTTAAAACGTTGGTGTCTAGTGGGATCCATGTTATCAGCAGCATAAAAGCACGATCTTTAATGACAACAAGCACTGTAAAAGTTGTGCTGATAATAGGTGACCGGTGTATAAAACCGAACACACAGAGCGGTCACAGGCTGCAGTTGTCTCCTATCACTGTATAGAGGTTCCAGAGTTGACTTCAAAGGAAAAGAGCAGTTTTCTCTCATTCCATCTCACTTCTTTTGTTTATGGGAGTAAGGAGCAAGGTGAACCAGATGTCTGTCTTCTCTACTCCTTCTACTGTACTTTAATGTGCTAAATTCTATTAACATAACAACAAACTGGTTTCCCTATCTCAAATCATATCTAAAGGAACATGTTACAGTGGAGGCTTATGGAGCAACTTCAAAGTAAAGGGATCGTTTAACATCTAAGTAGCCATTCAAGTCATGTTAATTATGGCATAGGACAGCTTGTAAGTCCTGAAAACGAACATGGTAAAAAACAAAAACACCACAAAGAAAGAGGTCACAAAAAGGACGTACATTGTATAACATAACGGATTTCCTAGAGGGATAAGGACAGTTCACATTAATACAATGGAAAAAGGGACACATTTCATTCACGTACACGTCACTGAGAAGGTATATACTGTATATCTGCAAACATGCTACACAAACACAAACAAATCCGTTTATTGCATTCACAGGAAGCAAACAACTAGAGTATTATTTATTCGTTTTTCAGAGTTTTCATTACATTCATAAGGTTGCTTAGAAGTAAGAAAATATTTAGGTTTATTATAAATTCGTTTTTGAAATTTTTTTATTACTCTTAACCACAAATAATTGCTTAGAAGTAAGAAAATATTTTGATTTATTGTGAATTCGTTTTTGAATATTTTTAATATTAATCTTATCCACAAACATTTAGTTGCTTACAAGTAAACAACTTTATAGGGCTATTATTCATTCTTTTTTTTTTATTATTATTAATATTAAACCACAAACAATTGCTTAGAAGTAAAAAAAACTTTATAGGGCTATTATTCATTCGTTTTTGAATTTTTTTTATTATTAATCAAATGCAATCATACATCCACAGGATTGATTAGCAAAGCAGATATATCAGTTTTTCGTTTATTTGTTATTTATTTATTTTTTATTAATATGATTCACACACATACACACACTGTTATATACAAAAATGGAAAGGTACATTTACGATGTTATAATGTTAAGATAAATACATGCAAACTATTGAAGCTTTATGAATGAAAAAGAGTTACTTTAAAGAAATGTTGCCTATACTACTTCATGCTGAAATGTATATTCATTTAGTAAAAGGAACAGTGGGTGAAAAAATTGTTATAATAATTAAAATTAGGAGTAAAAGGAGCAATTGGTGAAAAAAATTGTGAAATTAATTAAACATAAGAGTAAAGGGAACAATTGGTGAAAAAATTGTTGAATTATTTAAAGGAACAGCTGGTGAAAAAAAAATAGTTAAATTAATTAAAAATAAGAGTAAAAGGAACAGTTGGAGAAAAAAAAGAGTTGTATTAAATAAAAGTAAGCGTAAAAGGAACAATAGATGAAAAAATAGGTAAATTAATTAAAAGTCAGAGTAAAAGGAACAGTTGGTGAAAAATAGCTATATTGACTAATTTTAAGAATAAAAGGAACAGTTAATGCAAAAAAGAATTGTTATAATAATTAAATGTAAGATTAAAAACAGTTGGTGAGAAAAATGTTTAATAATTTGAATACATTTTTGGAACAAATTAACATTTTTCTTTGTATTTTGTTTAGTATAATGTAATGTCACTTACACACAAGTACATTATATTGCATGTTATTTGCATAGAATTGAAATAATAAGTATATAAATGGTGATTAAACCTGGATTACAAGGAACATATCCTTTCACATCCACTTGAAATGTATCACCTAATAGAAGAAACAGAGCTTTTCCTCCTATTCTCTTGAAAAGTTTACTTTTTAGGCAAACCAGACACTTCGGGGTCTTCCCCCAGGGGATTCAGATTGAATCTGATCAAAATTTACTTAGTCTAAAAGGCCTGTTGAAAAGGAATCTAACAACAAAATGTTTAGCTGCCTACCCCTGTTTAATCTCAGGTTCACCCAGAGTTCAGGCTCAGATGAATTCAGCAGCAGCTCCCATTATCTGGCTGATCAGCCAGAGACATCAATGCTGCTCCTCCTGATCCCCCCACTGCCTGCTAATTATTCCTGTACAGTCCTCATCTCCACCTGAACACCACTTACTGATTCTGCTGAACATCTCATCCACAGTCTGTCCTGGCAGCCAACTGGAATAACAAGTGCACTGCCACAACGGATTTCTATGACAGCACAATATACCACACATGGCATGTGTCTGCACATGCACCATCAGGCTCCAGTATCCTGCATAACCTGGCACTCACCTAGATGTTGATTTACTAAAGGAATTTGAAACTGTTCACTTTCAAATGTGAATGTTCAGTTTCCATAAGGCTGCATGCACAAATTCACATTTTGGGAATGAGCGAAAAAAGCATCACACTTGTGGTACCATTACTTCTTAATGGCACCCCAAGCATGAGTAGAAGTCATGTGTTTTGTTGCATGACAAAATCCTCAAAATGTACTTGACTCAATGCCAGAAAAAGGTGCAGGAGCTACTTTGGTATGTTTGTCACTCATAAGGCTGCCCGTTCAAATGAACAAGCGCGTCCTGTGTTCTTTTCAGTGAATGCAAGCAGTTTTGTGATTGGAGGAGGGGTGATTGTGATATTCATCCACACGTCCTCCAATCACAGAATAACATGTAATTGATTTATTAAAACTGGACAGTCCAAAATCTGGTACAGCTGTGCATGGAAGCCAATCAGCTTATAACTTCAGCTTGTTCAATTAAGCTTTGACCAAATAAAACAAACAAAAAAAAAAAAACGGAAGCTGATTGGTTTCTGGTGCAACGCTGCATCAGATTTTGCTCTCTCTACTTTTAGTTAATTAAGGTGTCCTTTTATCATGAAGTGGTAGATGACCGCTGCTCAGATCTCCAGCATTCTCAGAGGAGAGAGTTCTCTGAATGCCTTTTTATGAAGCGGTGTAGATCGCTTCTCTGAATGAAGGGAGAAGTGATCTACAAATGCTTTGAACGCTGGAAAATGGCTGCTTTTACTATAATCTCACGAGATTACGGTAAGAGATCAGTCAAAACACCGTTTACTAAGCAGCAGTAAATTATCGCTGCTTCGTTTGTGGTTCCTCCGATTCTCCAGCTCTGGGCTGGAGAATCTGGAGGGAGAACACAGTGCGCCAGTGAAGGGCTGACATCGCTCCTTCATATACTGGCCATCTGTGTGCTGAGATGAGCAGCAGAGAACATGTTCTCCACTGATCATCTCTGTTTCCTAAACCACTAATGATGTGAGATCAGCAATGATCCTCAGGATCACCACTGATCTCTGTTTCATA